GGGGTTCTCTGTGCTTCCTGAACTTGTAAGTCTATTTCTTTCACCAGGTAGGGGAAGTTTTCTGGCATTATTTCTTCAATTATGCTTTCAATATCTTGCTCTCTCTCTCTTCTTCTGGCACCCCCATAATTCGGATGTTGGTACACTCAAAGTTGTCCCAGAGGCTCCTTACACTATCTTCATATTTTTGGATTCTTTTTTCTTTTTGCTCTTCTGGTCAGGTGTTTTTTGCTTCCACATATTTCAAATCATTGATTTGATTCTTCAGATCCTCTACTCTACTGTTGTATCCCTGTATATTATTCTTTATTTCAGTCAGTGTATGCTTAATTTCTGACTGGTCCTTTTCCATTTTGTTTTTTGGTTTTTTTTTGGCATTTTTACTAAGATCTTTGAAAGTCTCACTAAGTCCCTTGGAGGTTTCTAGAAGATTCTTGAGTAACCTTATAACCTTGGTTTTGAACTCTATATCCAGTAGTTTGCTTGCTTCTTCCATTTCTTTCGTTTGTGACATGTTTCTTTGTCTCTGCACTTTGGCTGATTCCCTGTGTTTGTTTCTATATGTTGGGGTAGAGCTGCTAAGTCTCCTTGAGTTGATAGAGTGGCCTTGTGTAGTAGGTGTCCTATAGGGCCCAGTGGCTCAGCCTGCCCAGTCACCTGAGCTGGGAGCTCTAGGTGCACCCATTTGTGGGCTATGAGCACAGTCTTGTTGTAGTTGAGCCTTAATTGTCATCAGTGGGAGAATTAGCCTCACTGTGAGGATTTGACCTCTAGGCCAATTGGCTGTGAGGACCAGCTGCATCTATAATGGAAGAGCTGCTGTGCAGGAGACACCCCTATGGAGCAGGCCTCACTTCAGTAGGGCTTTGGTGCTCACTGAGTCTTCCCCTTGAATGTGTCACTTATGGATGTGTAGGGTTGTAATCTGGTATGGTCTGACACTGATCACTGGGTACACTGGCTCTTGGGTCTCCAGGGAGGTGCAAAGTCAGCCACTGCCTGGGGCCACCCAGTAGGAGCTACAGAGAAATCTGCAGATTCCTCCTCTTAGAAGTGCCCAGACAAGGCCCAGCTGTGAAGTAAGGCAGGTTGGTGCTGGTGCCAGGTCTTGGGCCTTTTATTGATAGTTTGGGGCTCCCTGACCCAGCTGCAGCTTGTTTGACAGGTTGTTAGCCTGAGCAAGGACAGGCCATTTATATGCCAAAGCCGCTGCCCACAGCTTGGGTGGGGTTGTAAATTGGGTGGAGTGGGGTCTCAGGGAATCACCAGAATGGAGCAAACAGAAATGGCTGCCAGTCAGCCCTGTGACTGGGGAGGTCCTAGCATGGGAACAATGACCACTGTGAGCACCACCATTTGTAAGAAAGCCGCCCCCGAGTTCCTGCCCTGATGCCAGACAGTCCAGTTCATCCTCATATGTGTCTGGGTCCCCCAGAGCCTCACCTGGCACTGGAGCTTAGAGGAAGAGGTAGCTTGTAAGTTCAGTTTATGCACAGGCCTTTTAAGAGGAGCAGCTGGGTCTCCAGCAGCCTCTAAGTCACTGAGCCCCAATCTGCACTTGTTTTTACAGCCCGTAGTTCTTACTGCCCATAGGGACTTCTTTTCCCAGCCCTGGGACCCTGGGATAGGCGTCTGGTGTGGGGCTGGGATCCTTGCTCCTCCTGGCAGCCTCTGCAGAGGCGATCTCCCTCCTGATTAAAGAAGTGGCTCACACAGTTGCTGGACCAGCCCGTTCCACACCTCCGCACCTCCTTCCAGTCTCAGTGTGCTTTCTTCTTCAATTCTCTAGTTGCGGTACTTCCACTCAGCCAGATTTCCAGTGGTTCTGGGTGATGGTTGCTCTGTATTTTAGTTGTAATTTTGATGTGGTTGTGGGAGGCAGCAAGTACAGGCATTTGCCTATGCCGCCATCTTGGTTCTCCTTCTCCTATGTATTTTTTTCCCTTTCTCCTATGTATGTTTTTTTAAAATATATTGGATTGATTTTTTTACAGAGAGGAAGGGGGAGGGATAGAGAGTTAGAAACATTGATGAGAGAGAAACATCGACCAGCTGTCTCCTGTACACTCCCTACTGGGGATGTGCCTGTAACTAAGGTACATGCCCTTGACCAGAATCGAACCTGGGACCGTTCAGTCCACAGGCCGACGCACTATCCACTGAGCCAAACCGGTTAGGGCTCTCCAATGTATTTTTATGAAATATATATTTTTTTGATTAATCCTCACCTGAAGTTATTCCTTCCATTGCTTCTGAGAAGAAGGGAGGGAGGGAGAGGGAGAGAAAGAGAGGGAAATATCAATGTAAGAGAATAAACCCCCAACCCAGGTACACACCCTTGACTGGGAATTGAACCTGAAACCCTTCAGTGTGCAGGCCATGGCTCTATCCACTGAACAACACTGGTCAGGGCTATGAAATATTTCTGATTCCAACTTTTCTGTTTAGGTCTATTATCCCTGGTGAATTAATATTTGTATATAGAATGAGATAAGGGTCAAGGTTCTTTTCTCTCTCTCTCTCCCTCTAGAGAGATATCCAGTGGTTCCAACAACATATGTCAAAGACTTTTCTTTCTCCATTGAATTGAAATAGTGTTTTGGTAAAAAAAATCAAGGGACTACATATGTGTGGATTTATTATTCTAGTCTATTATTTTCCATTTATATGCTCATGCAAAAGAACATATAAATGGAAATAGGAATCCTCACACGGAAAGATTTCTATTGCTTTATTGTAAAACTTCAAGTCACTTTGTTTTCTTTTCTTAAGATTGTTCTGACTATTCTAGATTGTTTGTGTTTTTACATTAATTTTAGAAATAGTTTCTCAAATTATTTGAAAATCCCTAATGAAACTTGGATTGGGATTGCATGAAATACATGAACTCTATAACCTATTGAGTCTAAAAATATATAGACTATAAACTCTATAGTTTGTGGAGAATAGATATCAATCAATGAGTCTTCCAATCCATAAACATAGTATATCCCTTTGTTTATTTAACAGTGTTTTGTAGATTTTGTAGTAGATATCTTGTACATTTTTCAAAGAATTTATACTTTGGTATTTGATTTTATGCTATTGCAAATCATATTTCTAACAAATTTTATTTTCCAAATTTCCATTAGGACTGTGTAGAATTACAATTGATTTTTGTGTGTTGACATTGTATCCCATGATCTTGTTAAACTCATTTATTATTTCCAGTAGATTTTTGTAGATTTCAAAGGGTGATTTAATAAAAATATGCTCTCTGTCAAAAAGAGTAGTTTTTTCCTTCCTTCTTTAGACCTCCTATTTTCATTATTTTATTTGATACAAATCGATTGTCCTAGTTGAGAGCTGTCTTTATATTGTTCCTCATCTTAGCAAAAGCAAAGCGTTTCCCTATTAACTATAAAACTGCCTCTAGGTTTCTTACAGATGTTCCCTCCTGGTTGCAGTTTTCTGAGCATTAGTAATCAAGAAAGGGTGTTGACTTTTGTCAGACTCTTTAAATTGTATTTATCAAGTTAATCATATGATTTTCCTTTTATTATATTTATTATATATAATATTGTATTGGCACTATATGTTATATTTATCATATGATATTATCCTATATATTATCCTAATAAGCTAAGTGTCCGGTCATCCGTTCAACCAATCAAAGCGTAATATGTTAATGATATGCTAAGGCTGCTCAACAGCTCGCTATGATGTGCACTGACCACCAGGGGGGGCAGACGCTTGGACCAGTAAGTTAGCTTGCTACTGGGGTCTGTCAGATTAGTACTGAGTGAGTCAGGCCAGACATGCCCTGGAGCCCTCCCGGCTGGCCAACCTCCTGCGTCCCTCCCCAGCCCCGATCATGCACCGGGGGGTCCCTTGGCCTGGCCTGTGCCCTCTCACAATCTAGGACCCTTTGGGGGATGTCGGACAGCCGGTTTTGACCAGATCCCGTTCAATGCAGGAGCTGCCCCCTGGTGGTCAATGAGCTCCCACAGCCGGGAATGCCGCTCAGCCAGAAGCCAGGCTCACAGCTGACTAGCATAGCTGCCATGGTGGGAGCCTCTCCCAACTTGTGGCAACTGAGAATGTCCAACTGATGACTTAGGCCCGCTCCCCTAAGCCATCAGTCGGACATACCCCAAGGGCTCCTGGACTGGGAGAGGGCGCAGATTGGGCTAAGTGGACCCCTCTCCCCAGTGCATGAATTTTGTATACCAGGCCTCTAATCTATATATATATATATATAAAAGCCTAAGTGATCATTATGACCGATCGACCAAACACTATGATGCGCACTGACCACCAGGGGGCAGACGCTTAATGCAGGAGCTGCCCCCTGGTGGTCGGTGGGCTCCCATAGACAACCTCCCACAGCCGGCTAACTTCCCACAGTCCCTCACTCCCGACAGCCCCAGTTGGGTCCTATGGGGTCTGGGCCAGGCTGAGGGACCCCACCCGAGCACGAATTCGTATAACGGGCCTCTAGTAACTGTATAAAAAAAAAAATGAAAATCAGTCTCATTAAATCCTTTCCCTGTAAGCCAGGGTTTCATTCTTCATTTTTGCTTGAGAGATTCAACCGCAGACCAGTCTGAAACATGCCCCTCAGTGCCACCATGCAGCTCTCCTTCAGCCTGACCTCTAAGCAGTTTCACCTCAGTTCCACACGCGGGCCTCTCCATGGCTTCCCAACTGCAAGCCCCCCGCCCCCCGCCCCCCGCCCCCCGCCCCCCGCCAGGCTAAGCAGGGAACGTGGGCTCTGGACAGGGACCTCCTCTGACCTTTGGCTCACCTCAGGACCCTGCCCCAGCCCGCTCCCTGCCCCTCCATCGGTGCAGGTGCAGATGCCCGCACCCCGGGGCTGGGCACAGGTGGCTCCCTCATCTAGGTGCTCACAGCCCTGCGGCCGGAGGGTGCGCAACAGCTGCCTCGGCGTCTCCCAGCCCCACAGCCACTCGGCTCCACCCACGGCCCAGAGCTCCAGGGACCCGCCACCTGTCGCCGCCCAGGAGATCCCCGCCGGCACCGGCCAGCGCCGACCCGGAGCAGCGCCGCCGCCCGCCAGCGCCCCCACCCCGCCCGGGCCTCCGCCCGCCCACTCAGCGGCGGCTTTTCTTTCTTCCAATTTTCTGTCCCTTCTCTCTGTTGGACTCTCCAGTTGCCTCTCCCCTTTCCCCACACTCGGGGCTCCTCTGCCCTGCTCCTTGCTTCTGGAGCTGGGGCAGCCGCGCTCCCACCTGCCGCCTGAGCCCTGCCCCTGCCCGGGTGGAGGGGGACGCTGCCCCGCCGCCTCCAGCTCCTGGAGGTAAGGACCGCGCCCGCGGCTGTGCCCTCTCCAGCGCCCTCCGTCCCTGCTGGGCAGGTTTTCTGAAAACAAAATTCCGTTTAAGAAGGGATCAGGGGAAGCGTGTCCCTCTGCGGCGGCTGCCAGCCCTGGCCTTTCTGATAACCGGGGTGCAGCCTGCGGGAGGTCTCCTCCCGGACCGGAGATGGAAGGGAAGGGGGAATCCGGACGCGGACCTGGGTCTGTAGCTGATGCCCTGGGGTAAGCCGCGCCCCGCTCTGTGCCTTGGGCAGCGCCTCCTGCATTCGGCCTGTGGGAGAGCGGGTAAGAGAACCACCTGCATGTTTTCACGGGGCGGACACAAATGAGCGCTTAATGAACGGAAACTCTCACCTACTTTAGCTGTTTTCACTTTTCAGAAAAAAAGTGGGAATGCTTTAACCTCGAGAACAATGCTGTTACATAATATGCATCATAGTATATGTAACTCTATACATGACATGTGAAGACTCGGATATAAGTATATGTGTATGTGTGTACGCACACACTCACACACGCATGAATGGTAAGTGGTGGAGGCGGGGAGCACAGGGTAGTAATGGACATGCATGTGGAGCCCAGGCATATTTTTTTCTCACTCTGAGTGAGAGTGAGGGCGCTAGATCTCACGTAAAACACACGTTTCAAGGTGTCAGGGTTAAGAAGCACTTCACAGGCAGCTGCAACCATGGGTCAGATGCTCAGCTATGGGTAGACTCCCCAAAGCTATATTCTGCCTTCATTAATTCAATGCCTTCATTAATTCAGCAAACAAATAAGCGAGCAGACATAAAATGATGATATGTCAGTTAGTGAACAGTGCTATAAATAAAAAAACAGGCGAGGGGGGAGGGGGAGGGAGGCCCAGGGAGCAGAGTGCCCAGCTGGCTGCGCATGGGTGTGGGGAGGCTGCGCAGCCCGGCGGCCGCTGGAAGGGACGACGGGACTGCGAAGCCCAGACAGAAGTCCTGAGTAGCTACTTGGGAAAAATAAGTGAAGTGACCCCATCTGCATACCAAATAAAGAAAATACAGGCACATACATATTTGACCCCTGACGGGAAAGGAATGCTCTAAGTGGTTAGGTAGCAATGGAAAAATCACAAAGCAAAGGCAGGACAGGTGGGCTGCACAACTATAAACGCTCCCAGATATTAAAGCATCGAAAGCGGCATTAAAAGGTAAACCGAACAACAGGTTGTAGAAAACACTAAACATCTAAAAATGGACAAAAGGCATAAAAAGACAGCTCATAAACATAGAAAACTAGCTACAAAAGGCATGACTAATATTTTGCTTTCTTTATACCAATAGAAATGCATATAAAAAACATGAGATACTTTGTACTAATTTGAGTACCTAATTGAAGATGAGAATGTTCAGTGCTTACTTGGGTGTGGTAGGCAAATAATGAATTATTACTGCATTTCTGGAATGCTGTATGCATTTACCATGTTTAAAATGTATTCTTTGTACTGCCATACAGTGACACCAAGAAAGTAAGAACTATAGATACATAATAATAGCTAACCTGTAAGTGATATTTATTATTCACCAGATATTTTGTAATAGCAATTTATGTAACCTTCTCACCAGCCCTAGGCAGTGGTATTGCTGTTCCCTTCCATGGCTAGATAAATGAAGAACTGAGAGGGTAACTTGTTCGGCACCATTCAGCTACAAATGAGGAGAGCGAGGGCGTAAATCCAGCCCGTCTGGCAGCACAGGCCATGCTTCAGAACCTGGTCCAGCTGCCTTACATGGGAACATGGCTATGGGCCATTTTGTCATAAAACACATGCTGTAAAGCATAACTCATCCATATGAAAGACTATGGTGTGACAATTAAAACGGTGTTGACAAAGATTTCTGCCACGCAGGAAAATGCAAGATAGGAAATTATTTAAAGGTCATCTTAATTATTTGAAAATATATAAAGTACAAGAAAACATGCTAAATACAGTATTAGACATGTTGATATTATTTTCTGCTTTTCAATCTTCATTTTATACATGTCCTTTTATTGGCATATATTACTTTAGAAATTAGAAACATTTTTAAAAAGAAAGAAAAGAAGGAAGAAATTTTAAAATTATGTAAAGGCAATAAATAATATCAATATCAAACATAGCACTAAAAAAATCTCCAGAATTTCCACATGCAAGAAATTTAATACTTATATCCTCTTACATATATTTTATAACTTTTATCTATGATATTTTTCAGAATAACTTTTCTTTTAGAAGTTAAATTTTATAATTTAATATCTTAATCTTTTAAATCTGCAATGAGTACATTAGTAATTTTATATATACACAGACATAGAGCAGGGCAAATACCAACTAATTTATATACTGGAATCTTAACATGTTTCAAATCGAAACTGAGTGAAGTCATCAGAATGATGAGTTATCTCATAATAACTTCATCTCTTAGTAGACCTTGAAAATTTAAAAAACCACAAACCAAGAAAACAGCAGTGCTCTTCACAGTCAGTGTCAACCTTAACCAGAGGAAACAGCACTTTTCATTCTACCCTAGATAAGAGAATAGATAATGCCAAAACATGTGCGTGTGTGTGGGGAGGGGCTTATTTCAAGCCATAGAAATATTCTAATTTCATTATGAACAGTTGGTACTTTCCATACATCCTTATCCCTTTTGTCTTTACATTATTGATTATTACCTCTTGGAAATGACATCAAATGCTTGGTGATTTATTCATAAAGATTGATGTAAATGGTTTGGCAGCTTAGCCATTACATTTTATCCAGGATTTGGGCATTAGCGGGTGGTGGTGGTGGTGGTGGTGGTGGTGTGTGTTTTAGTTTTGTGTTGTTTAGTGTGCGAGGCGAGTTGTAGCTGGTGAGAGAATTACTTTGGGCTGAGAGGCTTCATGCACCCAACCCAGGAAGTCTTCGTAAACATTAGCTCTTTGATTGCTCAGTAATTTTGGAGACAGGCATTCTTACCATCTCCATTTTGGAATGAGCAAACAGACTCAGACTTTTAAGTAACTTGCCCAAGGTTGCACTGTTTGTCATAAGCCCAGAGACCAAGCCCTTTCCAGGATGCTGCGCTTCCTCAATGAATAAAGCAAGGTGTCTGGTATAAAAGAAACATGGGATTGCTGGCTGGTGTGGCTCAGTGGTTGAGCATCAACCTATGAACCAGGAGGTCACGGTTCGATTCCCAGTCAGGGCACATGCCGGGGTTGTGGGCTTGATCCCAGTAGGGGGTGTGGAGGAGACAGCAAATCAATGATTCCCATCATTGATGTTTCTATCTCTCTTTCCTTCCCCCTTTCTCTCTGAAATCAATAAAAAATACATTTTTTAAAATAAAAGAAACATGGGATTGTTTATGAAAAACTCAGACCTGGTATAGGAGCCCCAACGCACCCTTCCTACCTATTCTACCTCTAAATTTGTAATTAGTAGGACAAAACTTGGGTTAGAGTAAGAGCAAAAGTCAATTCAGATTTGAGTTCTTTGAGTCTGTTTCTGTCTGGAATGTATGCAGTTCCCACTTTGTCTCTCCATTTTCCTAAAATAAACACATATGGGCATATGAGTGCAGAAACAGGCTCACACATCCATACACCTATTTCTCATTAATGACTATTGATGAGTGCTTACTATGTGCTAAGCATTGTGCTGGACTTCAGGGAGACAGTTACGTAAAGTAGACTTAGTTCCTAACTTCTGCAACTTGTGTTCTGAAGCAAGAAGATAGATGAGAGAAAAAAACAACTGGAACACACGCACACACACACACACACACACACACACACACACACACACATTCCTACAGGGGCAGGATGTCAAACGTATTTCAGTAATCACAGACTGCGTTCATAGAATAGCAGATTTTCCATAAATACAGTTGTTCTCAACTTTGTTTTTGGGGGCAGGATTTAGCAGACCAAGCCCAAAACACACGAGGCTTTCTGTATTAGAAAATTGTATTACCAGGGCTTTCTTCAGGATGCCAAACTTCATTGCACTAAAATTTCATTAATTCTACTTCCTGAAAGTTCCAAGAAGACTTGGTGACTAGATGAAGGTCTATGAAAATTTTCTGGATCCATTTTTAAAATTTTGTGTGCCAGAAGGTGTTTTAAAACCTTCTTCGTAAGACAGGTACGTTTTTATGTGAAAGTTCTAACTGAACCTGACTTACTCTGTTTTCCAGGAAAACGTTTTGAAGCAGAACCCTGAAACATGCATCTGGGACAACTGCCCTTGACGCTTTTGGTGCTTATGCTTAGGGGCACCTCAGGTAAGTCATAGCAAAGTTTTGCTGCTGGTTTTAGGAGGCAGCTATAGAAGATGCTGAATTTATTAAAATTAGCCAGTGATTTTAAATTTAGATAGTTGCCTAATGTTTTGGTGTCTCTGGCACAGAAACTAAAAAGCCACAGGAGTGGGATCAAATAAAGAACTATATGGGTTTATTGGAAAGAGGAAAATGTGGCCCCGAGTTTATGTAGAGAGAGCAGGTGTGGAACCTTGCATCCTGAAATAAATTCCATTTGTCTGGATGAAAATCTGCTTCGTGTTTTTTGAAACTGAATGTCACAGACGACTTTCTTACTGACTTTTAGAACATTTTACACAAGTTATCTCCTTCCCAAAATGAAGGCAAAGATCCATATCATAATTAGAGAACACAGGATGTTCATGGGAATACCTTACAAATGTTAAGGAAAATATTCGAGTCAGAGCAACTACTAGTATATATGAAAGACACGTCTTAGCCCAGGGAACTCAAGGAAGCGTTATGGCAGGTGTTGAATACCAATTTTATTTTATTAGCAGTGACTGCTTATTGACTTTAAAAAAAGATTTTAAATTGATTTTTAGAAAGAGAGGAAAGGAGAGGGAGAGAGAACCATCCACATGAGAAGGAAACTTCTATGGGCTGCCTCCTTCACGCCCCCTACTGGGAATTGAGCCTGCAACCTGGGCATGTGCCTGACCAGGAATCAAACTGGCCACCTCTCAGGACGTGGGATGCAGCATCTGTACCCACCTCCGCGCCTACCGGGCAGTGGCTGGCTGAGTGGACTGGCTGCATGCAGAAGCCCCTCTGAAGCCTGGTTTCTGGCGTCTTCTCCATGGAGGCTCCTCACTAAGATGTTTTCGGGAAGGTGTGGCAACCCTGTGTCTTCTGTGGCTTCCGTGTGAGGAAGCTGTCCTGCGCAACACCTTGTTTTACAAGATTGCTCTGCATGTGCCTGCCTCCTGGGGTGGGGGCCAGGCGCTGCCCTCCTCTTTGGGAGGACCCGTTGGAAGCTCTGCCCTCACTTATGTTCTGGAAATGCCTCTGTGTTGGGAAATTAGCTATGTCGTCATGTGTTTGATTTTTTCCTTTTATTTTGCTAATTTTTTGAAGAAACCTGTACTTCACGTCCTCATATTAATGCCGTTGAAGGAGAACCTTTCTTTCTGAAATATTGCCCACTTTCTCCTGTGCATGAACCAAGCACCACAAAATGGTTCAAAGCCAGTGAGTCAGATGGAAAGGTTGAGCTACGCTCGAGCAGTTCACCCAGAATTACTTTGCACGATTATGTCCTGGAGTTTTGGCCAGTTGAGCTGGATGACAGTGGATCTTACGTTTTCCAGAGGGGGTGAGTATCCTTTCTCTCTGTGAGTGTGTGCGCGGCGCTCCAGGACTTGGTTCAGCAAATCAAATGCACTGTAATCTGAAAGGTCAGGCAAGCCAAGCATTTAGTCTCCCCTACTCTTCCTACAATAAGAAATAAATGCTCCATTATTGAAAAAGTAAACTAAATGTTGCCCCTGTGTTTATGTTCCTAGTGGTCTTAATGAAATGAAGACGATGAAAGATTCCCTTAGAATGGTTCCCTTTTAGGGTATTCTTGCCAACAGCAAGTGAAGGCTGGGTGGCATTTGTTCTCAGATTCAGCCGGGCTGCTGGCTAGAGCTGCTGGTTCGGGAACGCGTGGCTGGGCGCGGATGTTGTGAGAGGGAACAGGGGCAGTGCCCGCTCCTGGCAGTGTGCGCAGGCTGCAGGGTGACGGGCGTAGATGCACCCTGGTCTAGTTCTCAGGTGTTTGCTGAGGGCCGGCGGCAGCAGTGCGTGGAGGAGGTGTGCATGGCAGCTGATGGCACAGCTCTGCCGAGGGCCGGGGTAGGGGCTCACCGAAGGGCCTGGCACAGCCTTCTCCTGGCACCAAGTGCGGACGCCCTGAGTCAGAACGTGTCTAGGAAAGGAGGGAACCGGATGAGCGTGCCAACTGCTGAGCTCGCTCTCTTGATCCTTTGTTTGGTGAGGTGGGAGGGGAGGGCCTGGAGAAGGCATGCTCTGCGCTGGGCACTGGTGAGGACATGGCGGTGCGTGGGTATCAGTTGCGGTGGCGATCTTATGTGTGTACTGAGGTATCTATGTGTGCATGTACCTTATAGAGCTCTGAGACCGGCCTAGAGGAAACAGCTCAGCCCGGGGTGGGGAGGGTGCCACTGTCACCAGCACCTGGAGTGAGTCCTGATCGCAAGCGCGTGGTGAAGGCAGAGTGAGATGTCCCAGTGCAACCTAGCGCCACGCCTGCGGTTTTCTGGAAATGAGGTCATTGGGTTTGTTTTTACTTACAGGCAGGCACCAGAGTCAGAAAGAAGTTCAAGAACTCTTGTTTTTTAACCAGTGAATTGTATGTGACCTTTTAGGAGAGATGATTCCAGACATGAGTCACAGCTGGTCTTTTCACAGTAACCAGAGTGAACGCTGGCCATCAGGGCGAGAAGCACTGCTCCTGAACCTGGGGAATGAAGGCAGCATGGAAATGAACAGGGCAGAGAGAGCGCGCGGAGAGGCCGGCCTCCCCAGCGCCACTCGCAGACAGACAGGGACAGAGGGCATGACCTGTCCCCAACACGGAAGGTGGAACACAGCCTGCATTAGGGAGGGAAGTGGGATCATCAGAGGTCGGATGGCAGAGAGGGGTGCGGGACCAGGAGGCCAGGCGACCGGAGCCCAGGCGCTCACGGGCTGTGGTGCCAAACTCTGAGGGGCGTGGAGGCTGGTGAGTGAGATGAGACTAAGCGATGGTGGAAAGAGCAGGCTTGACAATGGCTTTGAAAGCCAGTGGGAACCTTGAAGATACAGACTTTCTGAAGGTGGTACAACTGATGTGTGTGCACACGGGCAGTGGGCGCCTTGTAGTGAGTGAGGCCTTGGGTCTCCTGTGGGACTTGTCCGAGCAGACCTTACTCCTGGATTGTCCCCTTAGAACTGCAGCCCTGGAATTTTCAGGAGACGATGGCTAGTGATCACATTCCTCTGGAGATGGATACTCCACTCCTACAGCGACAATCACTGGGTCACATCAAGTTTTAAGGAGGAAATCCACTGAGAAGGGAGGGATGCAGGGGCGTCCTTGATCTTAGAGGTAAAGGCGTGAAGGCGGAGGGAACAGCGCCTGCAGATCAGGCGCAGGCCGAGCAGCGGTGGGCTGGTCTCTCCCAGGGCTTCTGTGTCGCCAGGGGTGGTTCTCGCACCAGGATGACCAGCCCTGACAGGGCTCAGCTACACGCCCCCCTGGGAGCTCCTTGAGGCGCAGGGCGCCCCTTGTTTCAGCACTGGGCACCTGGGCGCGGGGCAGCGGTTAGGGGGTGGTGCTTGCTGAGTGATAGCGACCAAGGCTGCAGAGCAGGAAACCGCCTGACTGGAGAGCGTGGGGAGGCGTCATCAGCTTCCCAGAGAGATCCTTTAAACAGGCCTGCCCAGGGCCAGCCCAGCAGGGAGCACGCGGCCATGCCTGGGGAAAGGCGCAGCTGCTCCACACTGCGTCATGGCCGCTGACCCTCCTGTACCCCGAGGATGAGGAAGGCCTGCCCCGCGCCCTCCCAGCCGTTAGGACCAAAATAGATGGGGGTGCATCCTGGCGATGGCCTCCCAGGCCTGTGGCACGGGAGTTGTTGACCTTCCCCTGAAGGTTAGCTTTCTCACTCACCTAAGGCAGCAGTCAGTGCAGCCGCTGGACCCAGGGGTGCCAGTGGTTCCGTTCATGGAGACGCCAGGGGAGCTGGGAGCGCCTCCTCAGGCAGACTGTCTGTGTTCACACACACAGGGCACCTGCTGGGTCTGGTATAGGACTGTACATACTGCTTGCGCAGTTTAAGCAAACATTACATTGCAAACCTTTGTCTTTTAAAAACATTGCAAAATTTCTTTCTTTTAGATTTGTAATTTCTAATCAGAAGGAACAACAATATCTATTCAAATAAACTCTGCCCAGTGAGGCAAAAAAGTGCTAATAGGACACGCAAGGGCAACTGACAGTAAGAGAAAAGCATTGGCTAAGCGGCCCGAGAAATGCAGACGTTCAGAAAGCACGCTCCGGCCCCGTGAGGCCAGCGCCGCCCTCCTGCCTTGGGTTAAGAATTTCTGAACTTGTTTATCGCCAAAATCTTTGATGTTTTAAACATTTCTGGTCTGCAGTGGGCTTTGTGTGTGTGCGTCTGTGTGTGTGCACGTGTGTGTGCATGTGCATGTGTGTGCACACGTGTGTGTGCTTTAGGGCCTGCTCAGGTTTATCTTTTCCCCACCGTCTACCCCCATCCCATGACAGTTAAATTTCCTGCTACGCTGAACCTGAAAGAGGCAGAGAAGAGTTTGGGCAACAGTAAATGAGTCTCTTTATACAAAAATAGGGAAAAAAATGTTGTTGCATTGATTACTCAATGATGGTATTTGCAAAGTCCCTGTACTAATTATAAAATATCTTTAAACCTTTATTTCATAGAAATGATACTCATGATTGGAAAATGAATGTCATCAGAAGAAGTAAACACAGCTGTTTTACTGAAAGACAAGTAACTAGTAAAACTGTGGAAGTTGGAAAGGCTTTGCAGGTGGACTGTAGCCATAGTTACTATCAAGACCTGGTCCACAGAACGGCACTGTATAAGGTAACGCATTCAACATGTTCTAACTTCAGGCTTGGTAGGAAAGACAAAACTCCAAAAGGAGGGTCTGGTGGCTGTGGAGCACGCTGTTCTCAGGACATGTGAGCTGTGTGACCACAGGCCCCAGGGTGAGGGGGCCCCAGGGCTGCTGTGATGAGCGCCTACACATGAGGCAGGGGCACCGCTCCTGCCTGAGACTAAGGTTCAGTAAATGACAAGGCTTCCTCTCTCTTGACCTTTACTAGTTTGTCTTCTTTTTCAATAAATTATATTTTAGAAATATTAGTTTAAAGATTTTTATTTTCCTCTGCCACATATACTTAAAATTTTAAATTCTATTATATACACATTTTTCTGATTATATAATTTCATTTTATAAAATTGAAAAGTAGAGAAATGAATAGGAAAGTAGCAGAAATAACTCATAATCCCATAAGCCAGAGACATATTTTCCTGTGTAAACATCTTCTTTTAAAAGTGGTATTTTTAATGGCTTGTATTTTTTCTTTATTCACTAAAAAATATATTATGATTATTCTTCCATATCTTTAAACATTCTTCCAACATGAGATTCCATATGCATGTCCTTGTACCTGACTAATCCCCTGTTATGGACATTTGCTAGTTTCTACTTTGCACTATTATTACTAAGACTAAAACAAATATTATTCCTATAAGTCTCCGAGTGTCTATATAACTTTATCCTCTGACCAAAAACCGTGGAGTTTTTGGATCAGAGGCTAAGAGCAGGTGTGTGCCTTTTGACACACATCAAACTCCGCGCCAGGGGCCAGACCACCACCCTGATGGGCTGCTCAGGGACTTTTAAACCCTGACATGCCAGCCTTCTGCAGCTCTGAGTAGCCCCCCACTCTTCTTAATAACAAATTAAATTTGTGTAGTAATTGCATCTTTGTATTATTTCTTTTGTGGATTGTCTACTTTCTTTCTATTTTCTTCAGTTAGTGTACCTTTTACCTGTTAAGTTATAAGAGCTCTTTTAGACAATACTATAGAGATTATTATATACAAAGATTTGTATACACTCACATGTATATTACATATACACATGCATTTGTACACTCACATGTATGCAAATACAACATGCACACATACATAAATAACATGCATGCACACACACAACGCAAATTATATCATTTCTGTAGAAGCACAAGCCTGAAGGCCGCGGTTGCGTAGCAGAGCTGAGAGAGGTGGTCTGAACAGAGGACCTTGGGAAAGATGAAACCGATTTCCTAGGAACGTCTGTTTGTTCCTTTTGCGTGAACACTGTTTACTTGTGTTTTTCAAGGGCAGCTCTTATGCAAAGTGTTTTCTAAATGTCGGAGCCATTTCCTGTCAAACGTGCAGATGTTTGCAGCCCATGACACGTGAGGCTCGGCGTGCGGGCCTAAGCAAGCCCCACACGCAGACAGTGCACTTAGAGGGTGGAGCTGGAGGGTGCTCTTAGCTGGACGCTGACCTCAGGCTCAGTTCACAGCCTGTTTACAGATCCTGACCTACTTGAGGGAGGGGAGCGAGGACGCTGAATCAGTAAACAACTGATTGGAAAAATGAGGAGTCTGATTGTTCAACATGGCTGGGGTAAATCAGCCTGAGTTTAAACATTCGGTGTCTATAGAAGCAATCCCTGCAGTGAGGCCATGGGGGTGCCGCCCAAGCCCACACTGAGCCCTCTGCCAGGTGCCACCAGCTTGGCCGCTTTGAGAGAGGAGCGTGCGGGGACGGGCACACAGTCGGAATTAGCAGTTTAGTTCCTGTTTTCCCATCTGGTTCTGAGATCGCTTCGTAACCTACCTATGAGGAAGAGGACTGCAAAGGCGGCGTTCTTGTTGTTAATCCCTCTGCCACAGATGGAAGTGTGCGATGCAGAGGTGTGTGCGTGTGTGTGTGTGTGTGTGTGTGTGTGTGTGTGTGTGTGTGTCCGTCCTTGGACTTGAATATTCTCCATGCATTTCTAATCAGGCCACTGTCTCCTGGCACAGGACATCAAAGGGGTCCCTGCTAGGTGCTCAGTCCTCAGAGTCACTCGCTCCCATGCCCCTCCCCCTGTCATGAAATAGAATTAGGTAAAATTTTGAATTCTTATAATATAACGTTGCTTTTACCTAAAATATTTTAACTTGCTTTTTAAAAACAGAACTGTGAAAAGATAGAGAACAATAAAAACCCATCTTTAAAGAAGAATGCAGAGTTTAAAGACCAGGGATATTACACCTGCATGTTTTTCCTTCATCACAATGGAAAACTATTTAATGTCACCAGCACCTACAATATAACAATAGTTGAAGGTAAGAGAAATTTTAGATTGGGGAGAAACAAGTGTATCTTAGCAAAATAAAATATTTTTTCTTCTAAAGCAGTACAGGAATCCAGAAGCAACCTAGTGGGCGTTGGGGCCACACCACTCATTCAAATAGAAGGCCCCCAGCCCCAGGGCTTTGCTCACTGTGTCTGAGATTCTGGGGGTGGTAGTTAAAGTTCATAAAGGCAACCCTCCCTGAGTCAGCTCCCTTATTATTTGAATAAATTGTGGGGTCTTTTATTGTTAAGCATATGTTTTCCCTTAACAAATATTTATTGAGGATGCTGGATTTAGTAACATCTGAGTACTGGGAGGGGGCGGGGGCAGGGAAATAGGAAATGAAGTGAGTAACATACTCTCCTCAAGAAACCGATTGCTGTCAGGAGAGGTGATGAGCCACACAGAGCTACGCGCAGGGGTGAAGGGTGCCGATCCGCCCGACAGTCAAAAACCTGGGTAGAACCTTTGGTTTTCCCAAAACTCAACTACTAACAGGTCTTGGTGAGAAGCCTTACTTATCACACATATTTTGTTTGTTATGTGCATTATGTTCTGTGTTCTTACACTTAATTAAGCTAGAGGAAAATGTTATTAAGGAAATCTTAAGGAAGAGGAAATACATTTGCTGTATTCAGTGAAAAGGTCTGCATATAAGTGACTTTTCCATGCAGTTCAGACCTGCATTGCTCAGGGTCACCTGCTCATGGGCCTGGAGTCACCTGGGAGGTGGAGGGAGTGCAGAGTGGACAGGCGAAGGGGACTGTGTCCTGTCCAGGTGCTGGCGACGAGCGGCAGGAGGCGTGTGGGCCAGGAGCTTGAGGAGAGGACGCCAGGAGCCAGGCCTGGGGCGGGAGGGGCACTTCTGCTTTACCACGGACCCGGATTGTATATAGTGGAAAAACTAAGGCCTGGGTTTTGAGGGATGGAGGGCTCAGAGGTAACGTCACTGAACCTTTCCCAGGGGAGCTATCCTCCCCGTGGCCCAGGTCGGCTCATCCAGTTGTATCTGGGGAATGACATGGACATCTCCAGGTCACAGAGGCCCAGGTTTTACTCTTTGGTTGTTGAGAGTCATTTTCCCCCCTGAGTCCAACATGCCTCCCGAAGCCTCTCCTCAGTGACACAGATGCTCTGGCCCCTAACGTGTTTCCCCGACGCTCTTCCCGCGTCTGAAGACTCCTGTGACGCCTGCTCAGCAGCCAGGGCTCACTCCACCCGGAGCTGCGGGGCTCCGGCCACATTTTCCTCGTCCTGTTAACTATCCACTGACATAGCGGGACTCCCTACATTGCTTACCGCTAAACTGCCACACGCTCACTGTCCTCTAACAACAGAAATTACTTACCTAATGGTTCTGAAGGTCAGGAGTCTGACATGGTTTGACTGGGATAAAATCAAGGTCTGAGCAGGACTGCGTTCCTGCTGGAGGTCCTGGGAGAAGTAGGTTTCCTTGCGTTTTCCAGTTTATAAAAGCACCTGTGCCCTCACCTTCTGCCTCCTCCATCTCCCACCTGTGCCCTCACCTCCTCCATCTCCCACCTGTGTCCTCACCTCCTCCATCTCCTACCTGTGCCCTCACCTCTGCATCTCCCACCTGTGCCCTCACCTCCTGCCTCCTCCATCGCCCACCTGTGCCTCACCTCCTGCCTCCTCCATCTCCCACCTGTGCCCTCACCTCCTCCATCTCCCACCTGTGCCCTCACCTCCTGCCTCCTCCATCTCCCACCTGTGCCCTCACCTCTGCATCTCCCACCTGTGCCCTCACCTCCTGCCTCCTCCATCTCCCACCTGTGCCTCACCTCCTGCCTCCTCCATCTCCCACCTGTGCCCTCACCTCCTGCCTCCTCCATCGCCCACCTGTGCCTCACCTCCTGCCTCCTCCATCTCCCACCTGTGCCCTCACCTCCTGCCTCCTCCATCTCCCACCTGTGCCCTTACCTCCTCCATCGCCCACCTGTGCCCTCACCTCCTGCCTCCTCCATCTTCAAAGCCAAAAATGGACCATCTTCAAATCTCCCCCTAACCTTTGCTCCCAACTATCACACTTCCTTTCCTGACACACTTCTTTGTTATGAGGCCCCTGTAATAACACCGGACTCACCTGGAGGACCCAGGACACTGTCCTCAGGTGAAATTCCTCAATTTAGTCACATTGCAGGTCACTTTGCCGTGTGAGGTCTAATATTCACAGGATCTGGGGAGTAGGGTGTGAACAGCCCTTTGGAGGGGCATTATTCTGCCTGCCACACCCTGTAACTGGGAATCCCATAACTAAACTCTGAAACTCGGGTATCTTAAATTCTCTATGTGTCCCCTAAATCCTTCAGTTTTGCTTTCCCATATATATTCTTTAATCTCATATACATCTCTGGTACTTTGACATTTCCACCACCAACACTCTCACCCACACATCCCGTGTCTCACCCACCAGCTCCCCTCTTATTCTGCCCTGGGAGGATTAAGGATATTCATGGTCAAACAGCACTTACTGCCGGCCAGACACTGTACCGGATGCTTTAATGGAGTCATCTCACGGACTCCTCCCTGCAGCCCTGTGAGCTGTGGCCTTGGTGAATGAAATTAGTAGTTTGTGCCTCAGATGCCTCATAGTCAACAGGGTGGTGCGGGTTCCTCCCTCTGGGCTGCTCTGAGGACGGATGGATGGGAGTGAGGCAGTGAGAATGGTGCCAAGCACAGGGAAAGCGCTGTTGTCATTACCACCTCCGGCGTCCCACTCCCCACCCACCACTGCACATGCTGCTCTCCTGCCTGAACTACCCTTGGCATTGATTGTGTCTCTTGGGGGCTGCCGCTGTGTCTCTCAGGGCTCAATGCCTCCCCGCCTCTGTGTCCCTGTGGCCTCTTGTTCATATTTCAGGTTGCTGCCAGAGTTGGGGTCACATGTCTGTCCCTGAGAAGGTCTTGGAAAGAAGGGATCGAACTGAGTTCTCTTCCTCATCTTGCATCTCCCACACTGACGCCTGGTACTTGGTGCACAGTAGGTGCTCAGTACGTGTCTGCTGGGTGAATTATTGAGCCTCATTTCACAAGTCTAGACTCTTATCCATCCTGGCCATTTTCCTTTGGATCGGTGAGGTGTGCCATCATTCTTCTAAAAAGCAGAGCTTAGAGCTGAACAGCTGGGAGGTGTCTTGACCTCCACTGAGGACACTGGGAGGCTGAGCTCCGACCTGGTCTATGTGATGCCGTGATTGCACTGCACCCGGTTACTCTGTAGATCTCTCAGCGACCACGTGCTGAGCACAGTTGTCTTGAATCAGTTCTCTCGACTCCCACCCGGCATCTGTTTTTGTCCGCTGCCTGGTTGAGCGGTGATGTGCCCTCCTGCTGGCAACCTTGCCATTTTGATTACAGTCAGACTAAGCTTCCAGGGCAAGTCCCAGGCTGCTTTCTTCCTTCTGCACCTTAAAGAGGGCCTCTCTCTTCACTTGACACCAGTCCCACTAACCCAGTGCTGCTCTGGTTCCCAGTCACTCACTTCATGTGTTAGAGACTGGTCCAGAGGAAGAGAATCCGTAGCGTTTTCCCACAGCCCAGAGCTGCCCGCCCTGTGTCCTTGCGTGGACTCCTGCTCCTCACACTCCCAGCCCGGGCGGCAGTTCTTTGGAGCCATTCGGCTCCCTGTGCCCACGGAGATTCCAGACCTGCCCAGCGAGCCCGAATCTCAGAGGAGCCAGACCTGCTGGGGTTTTCCTGCCCTAGTTTCACTCTCCAGTTCCTGCCCACATACTGCTCCACCCCTTCTCCACCTCCGCCCTGCCCTGCCCTGTGAGGGCCATGCTGCGGGAGCCTCCACAGCATTGGGCGCCTGGAGGCCCGGGAACGCTGCCCTGACTTGGTGTAAATGCCCCCAAACACCAGATGGGCACCAGGGTCCAGCCTGGCGAGGCAGGCAGTGCTGTCACAGGAGCAGCAAGGACTTGACCCTGTAGCCGGTCAGCATGTGACAGTGGCTCTCAGGGCTCTGCAGTGACTGGCGGCTTCAGGTTGTCCCAGGCATGCTTATCAGGCTGCCGGTGTCCTTCCTGAGGATAGCTAGACGGGAGCACCTGGGGGGTGGGGGCAGAGGTCACTGAGGGGGAGAAGTAGAGCTGAGCCTGGGGGAGGCACCCTAACAGGGCTGGGGCCCTGGGCGAGGCACGGGGCACGCACGAGGCTGAGGGAGTGCCTGCTGCCCCCTCTCTCCCAGTGGACCTGGCCCCAAATGGAGGAGGCCCCTGGGCAGGGGGAGGGGGAGGCGGAGCAGTGGCCTGGCCTCTCTGCCTGCAGCTCCATCTCCCCAATGAGCTGCTTCCTTCTGCACTGAGCGCAGCGGCAGAGGCCAGGACCTGACTTGAGGGAAAGCTAAAGCCTGTGTGCTGCCTCCAGCCCAGTGAGCTCTGGAGTCTAAGGAAGTGAAGAGACAGGCCGCGGTCACTGCCCATCATGTCATGCGAACATGACTGAAATGGAAGTCCGCGGTCGATGACTGAGAGTCTGCGCTGCGTGGAAGACGCAGGTGATAACCATCGTTGGCGGTAGAGAGCGCGGCAGCAGCACTAACACTTTTCTTTTTTTCACTTTTAGATCGCAGTACTATAATTCCAGCTATCCTTGGACCAAAGATTGAACATGTTGAAGTGGAATTAGGTATATTTTCACGTACTTATCTACTCTGCATTTATGAATGGGGCAAGTGGAGTCTTCCAAGGCTAAACCTGATGTGTTACTGATCGATGCTATGTGCATAACACATTGCGTATCTATGGAAGAACATTACGAAAGCAGCAAAGCCTGTCATGGCTTGAGTGTTGCCATTATTAGCTGATTAAAATGAACAGCCTGGGAAAGCCTGTGGTTTGCAAATGAGGGCTTTAGCCACCATGTTTGTGGCTTTTTTCTAATAGTCTCTATGGTCGTTTTTAAGTATGAAAACTCCGTAAGAATGCTCAGAGACATTATTCAGACTCGTATGATTAGCATATTTGATTAATGAATTTGAACCCTGAATTGACTGCACATCAGAAATTGTCTAGAGAAGGCTTGGAGGAATCAACATCTCCCTCCAAAAGAAAAGAAAGGAAGGAAGGAAGATATTTACAATGTAAACCAAGTTTTCTGTGAGGTGATTGAAATACCTTAATGAGTTAAGTTCTCCAGCAACTCTGAGAGTCTTTCCATTTCAGGAAGAAAGGACTGAAGCTCTGAAAGGTTAAGTGTTTGTCCCGGGGAAGCCAGTGGACAGTGGCGCAGGCGGTTCCGGGCTGCTGGCTTCTTCTGCAGCCCACGTCTCTGGCCGCAGCTGGTCCTGGCTGTTTACCACACACACAGTCTATGTTGCTTGGATACTTGGCCATTTATATTTGTGGTTTTCCTGCTTTCTTTTTTTTACTACTTTTTTGAACTTGTCTATTATTTTTCTCCTTATTTTAAGCTTTATTTGCACCTCTTTTTTCGTTTGTCCGCATGGAGAGTTAGGGAGTTATTTCAGGTTACTTTCTCTTGCACTGTGTGCAATTTCAGCTCTAAATTCCCTTATCATGCCTTTAACTGCTTGTTCCATACCAGATTTTCATTGCTGTTCCTTCAAAACATTTTAAAAGCTTTCTCTTACGATTTCTTCTTTCATCTATGGATTATTTGTGTTTTTTACTGTCCAAATATTTGGACAATTTTGTACTTATTTTTCTGTAATTGATGTCCAATTTAGTTCTATTATGATCCAAGATTATATACCATATTATTTCAATCTTTTGAAACTAGTAGTAACCTACTTAAGGACCAGAATATAGTGTATTTTTAAATATTTTTAAAATTGATTTCAGAGAGAACGGGAGAGGGAGAGAGAGAGAAAAAAAAAATCAGTGATGAGAGAGAATCATTGATGGCTGCCTCCAGCATACCCTCTACTGGGGATTGAGCCCACAAACCCAGGCATGTGCCCCGACCAGAATTGAACTGTGACCTCCTGGTTTATAGCTTGACATTCAATCACTGAGCCGCACCAGCTGGGCAGAATATAGTGTATTTTGATGAATGTTCAAGTGCATTTGAAATAAATGTGCATCTGCAAGTTTTGGTTTTACCATTCTGTTAATGTCAAGTAAGTGAAGTTGGAAGTCATTTATATTCTTATTAATCTTTTGTGTGCTTTCTTTAACTATTGCTGAGAGAGATGTTAATGTCTCTATGAGAGCCAATTTTTCTATATATCCTTTAGTTATGTTAATTTTGGCTTTATGTATATAATTTTTTAATCCTTGCCCGAGGATATGCTTATTGACTTTTAGAGAGAGGGGGAAGAAGAGAGGGAGAGAGGGGAACATTGATATGAAAGAGAAACATTGATCAGTTGCCTTCTGTACATGCCCCAACCAGGAATCGAACACACAACCTTTCAGTGCATGGGATGATGCTCCAACCAATGGAGCCATCCGGCCAGGGCTGTGCTGTGCATGTGTTGAGGTTATCTTATGGCAGGGGTGGGAAACATAGGGCCACTTATGTTTTAATCATTTATTTAACATAACTTTGAAGAGAAGCCAATTCATATTTTGGTGATGAGTTATAACTGATACCTAATGTCTATGCTTTGTATACTTTTTCATATTTAAAACAAAGCATGTCTGTTTTCTTTCTGGAAGTAGCACTATATTAGCATTATATATCTATTAGCATATATTGATTATCCTAAGTTAAAACTGGGAAATCCGAGTCTCTAAAATCAGAACTTGGACCCTGTCCAGTGTTGCTCAGTGGCCAGAGCACGAGCCCACACATGGAAGGGTCACGGGTTCCATTACCGGTTGCAGGTTCGATCCCCAGCCCCGGGCAGGGTGCTTATGGGAGGCAACTGATAAATATTGCTCTCTCACATTGATCTCTCTCTCTCTCTTCCTTCCTCTCTCTCAAATCAATAAAGAACATATGAAAAACAAAAAAAATAAAATAACGTCAGAACTTTGTCAACTTCTCCTAGGAACAGATGTGCAGCTCAACTGCTCTGCTTGGCTGAATGAAAAGGATTACATCTATTGGAGCTTCCATAGAAAAGATGGGCAGGACCCAAATGAGCATGAAGGGGAGGAAATAAAGATCAGGTATGCAGACGTGATGTGCGATAGACAGCATCGTATATGTCAGTGTTCCTGTATCGTGTAGGCCTGATTTAAAGACTCCAGACTCCTGAAGAGCCACTGGAACGTCTGGCATAAGTTATAATTTATGTATTATAATTCCCACACTCTGTGCTGGTGGATTGTTCAAAAACTCATTGCTGAGACCTAAACTGAAGAGAGAAAGTCAAGGAGGCCTTTTAGCATCGCCTCGCAAAGGCAGCCCTAGTCCGCCAGGCTCTGACGGGGTAGAGGCTGCACCTGCGCCTCTTATAAAGGCGTGGCAACCGAGCCCACAGGTGTTCAGATTTTGAAAATTCTGTTAGGTGCTTTATTTTTACGAATGTGCCCGAGTAAAGGCCAGTCCGGAGCCTGCGACATGTGTAAGTTAACGTGGGCCCTGTGAACAGTGGGTGTGAACAGCGGGTGTGCCCTGCGTGTCCCCGTGCCCCCATGCGAGCAGCAGGTCTGCATGCACAGCGGCTCTGCGTCCAGGCCCGCAGGCCGGCCTCCAGCCTGTCCTTACACGCAGGCCTTCCTTTTGTCTGATGGTTGAAAATTATCCATTATGAGAAACTTGAGAAATCCCGAGCATCACAAAGAAGGCGATGGCCATGCACACGCAGTGATGTGTGTGCTGGGAATTACTTTACGGGCAAGAGATACGCCAACATAGCCGCCGGTTCCGGCCCTTTGGGGACGGTTGTCGCTTCTACCAGAACGCCCCTTGCAGGGGTCGCCTCCTTAAAGCAGTGAACAGAGCAGTGAGGGTGGCACCAAGTAGGGAAGGTTCCAGAGATTGTCTCAGCAAACACGAATGTAAACCACCATCACCTGGATCCACATTGAACATACTAATTATTTTCTTGTCAGAGTCCATTCACAGAAATTGGAAACACAGTAAGAACGGGAAGAAGAAGCAGACAGGACAGTGATGAGATATAAATATTAGGAGGCACTGTGGGTGCAAAACGTTCCAAGTGACATGTATTGATCCCTGAATCACCTATATTCCTTCCTTAAGGAACGGCCAGACTTCGGAAAACAAAGCAAGCTGAGTGTGTGGTCATTCCCGCGTTTATGAGAGACTGGGTCACTGTGGTCATTCCTGGTGCACAGATGCCCTCGGTGCTGGCCAGCAGTGACCCTACGATGCCCACAGCTCAGCTGCCGGAGCCACAGCCTGTCTGGGGTTCGCAGGCTGCGCGCCGGGAGCGCTGGCTCAGTGGCTGCTGCTCCGGCAACTGCGCTCCTCAGCCTGGGCCACGGAGCCGGGTTCCCCCAGGGCCCATCCCCAGTGCCCATCGGTAATCCTTGGAGAGCAGCAGGCACTTGGCAGGCTATTAAAAGTGAAGCTGACTCCAGCCAAGAAGTGAGGAGGTCTCTTTCACTGTCAGTGTACGAGCTTCGTAGGTCATGGTTTTGGCCTCTCCGTGGCCTGCAGACCCCACTTCAGGTTGTTCAGTGTGTCAGAGTGGGCATTCTGTGCTGGTGACTCCGCTCCACATGCTGGGGCCACAGCGGGTCCAGACCCAGGTGGCGGGGACACCTGCTGTGAGGGACGGCTGGGTGGCCACACTGGGAGTGGCTGGGAGTGCTGCTGCCTGCCCGCCTGCTCCAGCCACGTGGGGTGGGGGGTATGGGGGCGCTTCCCCTGCACCCAGTGCGGACGTGAGTCCCTAGGAAGAGAGAGAGGACATTTGCTGAGCAGCCTACTTTGTCCTCATCTTCCCAGGGTGGTGCCTGGGAATAGTGTTGTGTTAAATGCTGAACAAAATACAAGGGACCTTCAGCATTGCACGGTCAATGCTGACGTGAGTGGTCTGTGCTGGCACCTTGCAGTCTGGCCACAGCTATTAGTGGCCTCACTGTACAAGGAACACTGAGCAGTTAGGAGAGGAGAAATAGGAAACAGATTTAAGAGAAGGAATATCTTCCTGTATTTTTAATTTAGCACCATCCCCTGCCACGCGTTTTAATTCAGGTAGCTGCTCACCATCCCCAGATGGCTGTGGAGCTGGCTCTTTTGGACCCTGGCTTCCTGAAGAGCCGGAGGCCCCTGGGGGCAGGCGCTCCACCCCACCCCCCACCCCCACACACATACTCCTCCCACACACATCCCCCACCCCCCCAACCCCCCTACCCCCAGGGAATGCGCTGGGTCAGCAGGGCTGCTGCCTGGGAGCTTGGTGCCTGCGCCCCACCCTCGTCAGTAATGCCCTGCAGTGAAGGAAGCTTCTGCTAACTTCCTTTCCTCCCTTACAGGACTTCAGAAGGCAAATGGCACGCTTCAAGAATATTGAGAATTGAGAATATTAATAAGAAAAATCTAAACTTTTCATATAATTGCACTGTGTCCAGCGACAAAGGCCCAGACACCAAACGCTTCATCTTATTGACAAAAGGTTTGAGAAAATATTGGTTTTGGAAGTCTGGGAATTTTGAACTTTTGCTGAGGGACTCCTCAAAGACCACCCCTTTCTCACTGAGTATGCAGAGAGCGGGGCCCGCGAGATGTGCACAGTGGGGTCAGCCGCGCCGGAACTCCGGACCCAATGCCAAGCAGAGCAGGACGCACACAAGTTATGCTTTTGCCCTCAGTGCCAATCCTATGTAGAAGCCAGGGGCCCGGAGCAGGGAGGCAGGTGGGCCATGAGGAGAGAGTCCAGTCCCCGCAGGACACGGGGCGAGGGGGACGGGGGGGAGGGAAGCGCAGCTCAGCATGGGTTGCAGCCAGCGGCACTGGAGGGGGTGCAGCCTTCTGCAGCTGGGTGGGCAGGGCCCTGGGAGTATTCATTCCTCCATAACAGCCAGCGGAGGCCTCCCTGCCTCGGGCCAGACCCTGAACTTGGCAAGTGGACAATGGACGGCCCTGGTCAGAGGACCCTTCGAGTTTTTCCAGAGCTGCCTCCGTCTTCCACTAGTAGCCCACCCAGAGCCTCCTGCTGCAGCTTCCCAGCAACAGCTGTGCCCAGTGGACAGCTGTGCTCCAGTGACTACTCACTCACACTCGCTCCCAGGCTGGCCACCACCCCATATGCAGGGAAAGGCTGGGATCTGAGAGAGAGTGAGGCGGGGGGGGGGGGGGAGAGAGAGAGAGAGAGAGAGAGAGAGAGAGAGAGAGAGAGAGAGGTGTATGCTGTGTCTTGCTTTGGTGAGAAACTGAAGGAGTGAGGGGCACAGAAGCTAAGACCTAAAGCCCCCCCTCCCCCCCACGTGTGGGGTCCTGGTTCCCATCCGCGACTCACCTGGAGCACCTCTTCAAGGCCCTCAGTCCACCCACGTATTCACAAGGATGGCTGACGCTCTTCATGCTCATTCACACAGGCTGTGCTAGGCTCTGACCACCGCTCACCCTGTGTACAACACGTTACACAAGTAGACAGCAAAGCTAGACCCCACGGGCTGTGAGACCCCACGGGCTGTGAGACCCCACGGGCTGTGAGACCCTGATGGGCTGTGAGACCCCACGGGCTGTGAGACCCCACGGGCTGTGAGACCCCACGGGCTGTGAGACCCTGATGGGCTGTGAGACCCCACGGGCTGTGAGACCCCACAGGCTGTGAGACCCCAAGGGCTGTGAGACCCTGATGGGCTGTGAGACCCCACGGGCTGTGAGACCCCACGGGCTGTGAGACCCCGATGGGCTGTGAGACCCCGGGGGGCTGTGAGACCCCACGGGCTGTGAGACCCCACGGGCTGTGAGACCCTGATGGGCTGTGAGACCCTGATGGGCTGTGAGACCCCACGGGCTGTGAGACCCCATGGGCTGTGAGACCCCACAGGCTGTGAGACCCTAATGGGCTGTGAGACCCCACGGGCTGTGAGACCCCACGGGCTGTGAGACCACACGGGCTGTGAGACCCCCACGGGCTGTGAGACCCTGATGGCCTGTGAGACCCCACATGCTGTGAGACCCCACAGGCTGTGAGACCCTGATGGGCTGTGAGACCCCGGTGGGCTGTGAGACCCTGATGGGCTGTGAGACCCCACGGGCTGTGAGACTAATAGCTGAGCTCGGGCCCTTGCCTTCTGTAGGATCGTCACGATGCCCGTCCGCCTCACGGGGCACACATGCCGTGGCCCACGGGCATGTGCAGGGAGGGTTTCCGGCATTGCTTCTGCGTGCTCATCGCATGCCTGGGTTTGTGATGATCGTCACCAGCTCCTCCCCCCTTATCAGTGCTGGATGTCCTGTCCCTGCCACAGAGGGTTCCGCCCGGCCATTCTCCTGCTGCTCTGCTTGCAGATGTCAGCCAGCACAGGGCCTCCCCTGCACTGTCACCCCGAGGGAGTGCGCCCGTGTGAACGTGTGTGCGCGCATGTGCACGTGGCACAGTCACAGACAGGCAGGCCTTTCACAGACCAGGATCCTCAGGGACTGGCTTTATTCGGAGTTCACTTAGTTAGCAAATGTGGCCGCTTACTTACATCCTAGTAGTCAATTTTACTGGAAAGATCATCCCTAACATTTGTGCCAAGATGTCAAGAGCTTTATGCATTTCTGCTCTTCGATCTGGAAATCCTCAGCGTTCAGAACCTGCTCTAGCAGAATCATCAAGCACAAGCATAAAGGTTTGTGCATCTGTTCATTGGCGCATCGGTATATTTATAAGCACTGCAATCAATCTAAATACTGGCATATTATGAATTATAACTGTAAAGACCTTGCGAACTGCTCATAATATAGTGTAATACAAGAAAGAGTGATTACCCTGTGACCCCAATTAAGTCAATATTTTTAGGGAAAATAAAAATCTAAAACAAAATATACTAGCATGTTAGCATGCCCATCACCACATTGCGGGATGGTTGTTAAAAATTGTTTTATAGTTTTTACTCTTTTGTACTATTTCGCATTTTTCATATTGAGCATGAGCTGAATCAATCTAAGAAATGTACTTTTCCCCAAAGGGGGTTTTTATAGAAAGTGCACTAACATCCGCAGGGCTGTGTGCCAGATGCATGTGGTCTCAGCTCCTGAGGTGCAAGGTCTCACCGCACCTGCCCCTCAGGGGCAGCCCCGTGAGTGGTGTCCTTAGCTTCGATTGCAGCTTAAGGAACTAAGTGTTAAGGGCACCGGTGACACTTCCTAGGACACAAAACCGGTGACAGCCCAGATCGTCTAGCTAGTGTTTGCTCTCCCAGAACTCTCGCCTCCATCTGTGTTCACAGCCGCGGCCAGAGATTTGTGTGTTCCACCCAGCATCTTAGACCCCGAGAGGCCCGCCTTCCACCGACAGGGATAGACGACATTACATGCTTTCAGTTCAGGTCTCTGAATACCTTGCACACATTTTAATTTGTTAAAAATGGGAGCAGAAAAATCACCGCTCCAAACGAAAGGCAGGGATGTGGAGCAGCTCGGTGGGCCGCGCTGGGCAGGCAGCTGGTTAGTATTCATGGTGAACGCTGACATCCCGGAGTGACGGTGGGGAGCAGCGTCACCACGCCCGTGACTGATCACTCCCGTTCTCTCCTTTCCAGGTCGTGGCGACATCCCAGGCCATGTCTTCACGAGGGGGATGGTCACAGCTCTCGTGATCTCAGGGGGAATCCTGTGCCTAGTGATTGCGGGCGTTATTTATAGAATTGACTTGGCTCTATTCTATAGACATTTCACAGGAAGAGATGAAACATTAACAGGTAACCAATACCGGGATGCTGGGGTTTCTTATCCTATGGTTTTATTAGGAAACCTGATAAAGAAACATTAACTTCATCTTATTTACATTACGCTGGTGACTTAATGTGTGGCAGGGGTTTCCAGAGGGAAAATTGCTCTGAATGTATCATTATTATGCAAATTGTCTGTGCCACCTTCTTTTGTACTTAGATGTTGCCCAAGATTGCCCTCTAACTGTTTCCTGTATGTGCGTATGCGTGTCCTCCTAAGAGCCCTTTGAGATGCTTGCTCTAGGGACTCAGCGTCATTGTTTGCACACCATCTAGGCACCTTATGCAGAGCAGTCACTCAATAAAGATCATTTACGTTGATTTGAATTGGATAATGGTGTCTGTGTCCATTGGCTATATTTATATGTAAAAGTCTTAATTTTTGCACTCATTTCTTCATTTTTACTTTTTCATGACTTCTCTCTGTCCATGGACCACACTCCTAGCAGAGCTGCACAGATACTTTTTTAAATTCATGTTGCTGAGCACGGAGAACTCACACTTCTTAGCTGGGTGGCAGTGCCTGGAGACAGAGATGTCTCCACAGCAGCTCTGCTAAGAGTGTGGTCCATGGACAGAGAGAAGTCATGAAAAAGTAAAAATGAAGAAATGAGTGCAAAAATTAAGACTTTTACACACAGCAGTTTAATATTGCTGCACCATCCAAGACTGTGTTCAGTTACTGGTTTATGAATAGTTGGAAATGAAAGAAACCAATCAACAACAACAAAAACTAAACTTGAGTTAAAACATGGTCACTTGCCACACAGAGTTTGTCTAAGAAGCATGTTCTGACTCTTTGTAGTCCCAAATATCCATTCACATGTTGGTTTCATTTATGCAGAACAAAATTATCAGCTTTCAAATTACTTAGCTTGGGCACTTCACGTTATTTCTCGGTTATTACAGCCACCAAAACTTTCATTCCTTGGGTTGAAAAATAAATTATAATATAGATTAGTAATTTGCTAAACCAAGAAAAGAGGTGCCTAAAAATGAGTTTGAAAGCTATGTCACATGTATATCACTATGTAAATTCGACTGATTTACCTTTCCAATTTATTGCAATTAGTTACATTCTGATTATGAGAAAAATACACGTTGGCAAAGGTGTACTCATTCATTTCTTGCATCTTGGTGCCTGTTTCACTCACTGGCATGATGACTGTTCTGATGGGAGCACTAGCTCTTATCCTAACACCAGTAACAGCTGTATTTCATGACAAGCTGACAAGACGAGCCAGGACCACGTACTTATATGACAAATGGCTTTATTGTTACCAACTTTTAACCTGTCTTTGATAAGCATGATCATTTTGCAGTTTTGAGGAAAATGTCCTGTCATTCACATGCACGTAATTCTGAAGAGCAATTGCTTTACGATACACCCACGGTGGGTTCTGACTCAAACTGCAGGACAAGAGGCTGTAGGTGGGACTGAAGCAGCTTTTGCCAGAAACTGTTTCTTTGTGAACCTGGATGCTGTGAAAGAATGGGGCCCAGCTGTTGAGCACAGGTGATGTGGTGCCACAAAGAATGTGGGCCCAGATGGTTTCGTCCTATTCAATTTTAATAAAGGAGCCAATAATTTTAGTCTCAACTCAGAAGCAAATTCATCAATCCCAATCCTAGACCCAAACATACATCTAACTCCTCCATCAGCTAACCAGTTGCCCTGGGATAAGGATGGAGTAACCCCTCGCATGCATGTTATTTAGAACACATGTCCTTTCAGAACACATGCCCACGATGGCTCCACGTTCTCTGACCAGATTATTTTTTGTTTTGTTTGTGCTACACTTCGTTGTGTCTGCCAATGTGTTATTTGTAAACTTTTCAAGTTGTTGCATTTGTCTGCGAACTTGTCTCTAGCAGAATGGATAAAGGTAGAAGAAAGAAATGTAAATAAATTTTTAGTAAAGCAGTTAGTAGAATGGTCTTAGTTTTTAGGTAACACATTCCTCTTGAATGTGTCTCTAGTCATCTGAATACGCAATATTGCTTCATTGTTAGGAATAAAACAGGAGCAGTTGTATCAGTGCAAACCTTTCCACCTCCTGGCCTTTAGCATTATATAAATTTCACCATGCCATAGCCCGGTTTCCACGGCACACTGTTTCAATGGCCTCTGCCGTTTCCTCCCGCTCTCCCGTGTAAACACTCAGCACTGTATTTTTTAATTTAAATTTTATTTTTCAATCACAGTTTACATTCAATATTAGATTATATTGGTTTCGCGTGCACAGCATCGTGGTGAGACGATCACATGCGTTACAAAGTGACCCCCTGGCATTTCAGGTGCCCACCTGGCACCACACTCAGCGGACACAGTGCTGTTGCCTCTATTCCCCAGGCTGTACTTCACATCCCAGGACTAGTTTGTAACAACCAATTGCATCACCGCTTCCCGGGGGCTGTCCTGAAGGTGGACATGGGGTGGTTATGGGATTAGATGACTGAGGTGGAATGAGCCGAGGTGACATGTACTTTCTAATCTTGGGCCCAGGACATACGAGCATTTGGGTTCCTTGGTCCTCTGCTACCTTTAAACTCTGTGATTTCTCTGACCTGTGACATGCGTTTCTCTCTATGCCTTGGTGATGTCAAACAGCGGGAGTCTTAATGCACATGCTTAAAAGTAAGAACACTTGCTAATTGATTGCTCGATTATCATATGAGCTTTGAGGATGCTATTTTTTAAATGATAATTGAATATAATCATTGCTTATTGACATTTAAAAATTCAGAGATAAAGAATAATGCATAAAAAAGAATAATAAAACCAAAGACTATGTAGGGACTTTAGGGATTAACCCAAACAGTCTTATTTTGTTTTTTCAATTTGTTTTCTATCAAAAGTATTTTCTTATTTTTTTAACAGCTTCATTGAGGCATAATTAACATACAAAGACCTGCGCATATTTAATCTCTACAATTTGATGTGTGTGGACACAAGGATGCCATATTTAACTTTTCTTTTTCAATAATTCCATGTTCGTTTTTAGTGACTTTCATTCAAATTTGAACTTAAACTTTTATTTCCGCACGAATAAAAGGAACAAACCTTACCTCCTAGATGGGAAGACTTACGACGCCTTTGTGTCCTACCTGAAGGGATGCGGACCTGCGCACGGGGAGGAGCGCGCCTTCGCTGTGGAGGTCTTGCCCAGGGTGCTGGAGGAGCACTTTGGGTATAAGCTATGCATATTTGAGAGGGATGTGGCACCTGGAGGAGGTGAGAAAGGGAAGGGCAAGTAGAAAACTAGTGGAGACGCTTTCTCTTTATAAGATGAACAGCTTAGGCTAACCCTGTTTTGCTTAAAATCGAGCAATTTACCCTGGTCCTCTTGCCAGAAATAACCAGCGATGGGGGGCGTGGGGGGTGGAGCCTGGGGGGGGGCGTGGGGGTGGAGCCTGGGGGGGGCGGGCAGCATCTTTAGAAGCGGCCCAGAGTGGCACCCTTGGGAGGCAGTTCTCTGGCAGCCACTGAGAAGGCCTCTTCGCCAGCAGAACCTGTGAGCACAGACAGGCGGGGCTTGTCCTTTGTGCGGACATTGGTGAGAGAGCTGCGGCGGGACGTTGGGAAAATGCAGTAAATCAAAGGACATTGGTGGTTCACATCATATTTGAGTTATAAAATGCAACTTTTCAATTTATATGTGAATACAAATGGCCATCACACATATCTTGAAGCAAAGCACAGTGAGAATCAAAGATATTGAGAAGCACTTCCATGTTTTCTCTGAAGTCTGCAGAGCAAACATTTAGAAGTGGGGGCCGTGGGGACTGCTGTGTCGCCAACAATGTGACACCGGTCACCGTCCCTCACTCATCTCTCGACACTTCTGGGCGCCCCCCTTGCGCCAGGTCTGAACTGGGCGTTGCAGACGAGGCAATAAACAAGAACCGAGCGTGCCTTCCTCCTCCTCAGTGAGGAGGAGGAGCTGTGTGCTGCTTAATGATGAGCGGCTTCCCGAAGGAATGACATGCCACCTGCTCAGACGCACGGAGCCTGTGATATTTGTGTGCGCGAGTGCTTTCTCAGAACTCAGAGAGCATCACTCTGGCCTTTACAGCCCTTTTATTATTTTGTCATTATTTTCTAGGAGCCATTTTGAAAAATTGATTTTTTTTTTCTTATTTCCTAAATACTGTAAAAATAAAAAATGTTTGTCCTCAGTGGTGGTGAGTTTCGGTTAAAAGCCTCTAGTTGGAAAGGGATGGCGGTCTAGAGCGGAGGGTGGCAATCTACCACCCGGGCGCCAGGCCTGCCACCCGCCCTGCAGCACGGCCATGGCAGGTGCCTTTTAAGTCACCACAGCAGAGTGAGTTGTGACAAAAGCTATATGACCTGCAAAGCCTGAAATATTTACTATCAGGCCCCAAAAAGGTTGTCCACCGCTGGTCTAAAATAATGGCAGGTTTTGATTTTATTTTTAAATTCTGATTTTAGCATGCTTCTCCAGGTGTGCGAAAGCAAGACAGTGTAACAGTTAGAAACCGGTGTTCCAGACGAGAGCAAGTGCGTTCAGGTTCTGTTTCTGCCATTTACTGGCTGTGTGACTCTGGGCAAGTCACTAAACCACTCTGTGCTTTGGCTTCTTCGCCTGTACATGGGGACGATACTTTCCTTA